CTGGATCCCAGTCCCCTGCTCTAACCTCTAGACCCCACTCCGCTCCCAGAGCCAGGGAGAGAACCCAGGGGTCCTGGCACCCAGCCCCCACCCCGCTCTGACCACTAGACCCCACTCCCCTGCCTGGGTGGTGTAGGGGTAACTGTGTCTGTATCCCAGCTCTGCTAAGGGCCTTAACTGCTTTTCCTAAAGTGCTTACTTCCGAATCCATCACATCTGCCACCGCCCTGTGTGGGGGCACCAACACTGTGCGGGGTTGTGATGGGAAATCATCCAAGCTGGTCCTAGGGAGATGTGTGTGTTCCTGCCGCCCCCTGCTGGTGGGTCTGAGCCCTGCGCTGTGTGTGTGTGTGTATGTGTGAGACACTGTGTTTGCATCCATGTCAGTGTGTTGCTGGGCTAACCAGTAGGAAATGGTTTTGCAGGACTTTGTATCCTGCAGGAGGTGACACACACACACACACAAACACACCACAGCTACCACACACACCTCCACAACTCCACACAGCCAGCCAGTCACACACTCTGATGCACAAAGGGACTCACACAATCCCAAGCACACCTACAGACACTCACACACAACACACCAGGGGCACACACTAGCCCCAAAGAGAGGGACAATCACACCCCCAGCCACATTCATAATCACCCACACACACACCGGAATATTCACAATCATGCTCAGAGACACAACCACACACAGTTCACTCCCACTGCTGCCAACACAAGGACCTCCCGCCCCACGCAGTATGTGTCAAGGCCTGTGGAACTCACTGCCACTGGATAGCTACCAATAGGAATGGACCTTTCTAGGATACCAAGAGACATAGGCGTGGTGGCAGAGGCGGATGGGCTCCCAAGGTCTGATCTGGGCTGAGACTGGGCTAGAGGGGCCCATGGGTCTGATCTAGAACAGTCTATCCAGCAGCGGGCAGTGTGACCCACACACAAACCCACCAGAAGCACCTTTCTTAGCGGGTCTCCCAGGCCATCCCCCACCCTGCCCCTGGTTGAGTAACAAAGAGGTGGCATGGGACTCTGGGCCATGTCGCAACCTGGCCCCACCCCCTCGCTCCCACACGCTGGCAGGCTGGGTAACTGCCAAGGGATTGCACAAGAGTCAGAGCCAGGGAGAGAACCCAGGAGTCCTAGCTCGCCCCTCCCCCACCCCAATCTAACCACTAGACCCGACTCCCCTACCAGGGCTGGGGATAGAACCCAGGAATTCTGACCACCAGCCCCCCCCCCCACCCAACCACTAGACCCCACTCCCCTTTTAGATTTTAGGCTCACTGCCTCTTCTATCCACCTACCCCACCCTCTCCATCTGTCCATCCCTTTGCTGCACGTTTTTGGGGTGTCACCCCTGCTCTGTACTCCTCCAGTGCAGCCCAAGGCCTTCCCTCCCCGCAACCACATATCCTCTCCCCCCGGTGCTGGATCATCTGCTTGGCCCCCCACTCCCTCTCGGGGTGCGCTGTGCGTCGTGGCTGGGGATTGTGCAATGGCCGAGCACCAGGCAACGCGGAACGGAAACCACAGGCCCTGCCCCACCCCACCTGAGCTGCCCCCCAGATGCACTGGAGTCCAGCACCCCGCACCTGCACCCTCCTGAGCCACAGTGGGCGAGCTGAAGCCTCCACCACACTCCGCAGAAGGGCGAAGGGCCAGGCCAGCCAGCCCTTGTAGGATGGGGGAATCGCCACTGGGGTCAACGGTATGGGGGCTGTGATGCATGGAGAAGCAGTCAGCAGAAGGCAGCAGAGCGTGCACACACACAAACACACACACACACAATTGCAAATATTCACAAACACATGCATGAATCCAGCCACAGGCATACATTATTACTAACATACACAAACACCTGCACAAATCCAGCCACACACCAACACAACTGCTAACAGATGCAAACACATGCACAAATCCAGCCACACGAACACACACACCTGCACAGCCACACACAGAACTCACCCCCCACAACTACACAAATACCCGCCCACACACACAACCCCTGCAGAACCCGAGACATACACAAACACGTGCACAAATCCGTACACACACACATTCCATCCCCGTCCTATACACACACCTTGGGTCACTGCAACACTTAACACTTCAATTGGATGGGGTGCCCAGTACCATGTCTATTCTCTGCCCCCCAGGGCCCGTAGAGGGTGGATTGGGGGTGTGGCTGGGCCACCCTATGCTGTGGCTATTCCCTGCACCCCAGAGCTCATAGGGGGCAGATTAGGGGCCGAGGGGGCACAATCAAATGCTAGCCAAGGGGGGGTTAGAGGTGGGGAGGGGGCCGTGGTTTCTGCACCACCCGGTTCCTGGCACAGACTCCTTCGAGGTTTTGCATTTCTTGGTAGTTTTCACCCCATCACCATTACCTGCCTAGCCCCCTCCTGCTGTGCGAGATGGTTAAGGAGGGGATGGGAAGAACCCAGGAGTCCTGGCTCCCAGCCCCAGCTGGGCTAACATACCCAACTTCACTCTAACCCCAGAGCTGGGAATGGAACCCAGGAGTCCTGGGGGCTACTGGTTAGAGCAGGAGGAGCCAGGACTCCTGGGCTCTATTCTCAGTGCTGTTCTGTGACACTGGGCCTCTGTTTCTCCTACCACTTTTTGGGTATGGAGACTGTAAACTCTTTGGGGAAGGGCCTGCTTCTTGCTGTGTCTGGGCAGCGCCTCACCTAACAGGGCCCTGATCTCAGCTGGGGCAGGGACTGTCTCTGTGTCTGTGCAGCCCCCATCACAACGGGGGCCCTGCTTCTGCCCCAGTCTCTTTAGGTGCTACTGTTGTACAGATCAATAGTCCTGAATACTAAAAGGCATGGCACCGCCATTGCCTTGCAAGGGCTAAATGTGATTCTTATCCCTGTGGCCCCCCGTGCATCTCCCCCCCCAGTTCCCTGATTCTCCGCCCTGAGCCCCTTGTGCCGCTGCTCTCATCAATGGCAGCGCAGAAAGCCACCCAGCCCTAGCGCCAAAAGAAGAAGAAGACAGGGAGGAAAAAAAGGTTTGCAAAAATCAGTCACACCAATAGGAAACCAGCCCCGGTGGAATTGCTCAGGGAAATTGTCTGATTTGCAGGGTGCTGCGGAGCTTTGTTGGGGCAGTTTCCTGGGGATCAGCCTAGAGCCTGCATATGCTATCAGCCAGGGTGGGGCAGCGGGAGCCCATGTCCCCCGAACCCCTAATCAGCTGAGTGTACTCCACGCCCCCTGTCAGCTCCCGGGGGATGGGTAGAGTGCTGGCACCCTCCTTCCCCCCGCAAATCACCCAAGAGGCAGGAGGTGGACGGCTCTGGGATGCTCCCAGCACCCAGGCACCAGCCCGAGACGGGCCCCCCACCCCCCAGTGATAGGTGCTGTCTACCCCCACTTCCTAGCTGGGGGGCCCTTCCAACAAAGCTTCCCCCACTTGACTTCCAACAGGAAGGGGGAAGGGGTGAGTCTGGGAGCCAGGACTCCTGAGTTTAGGCCACTCACATCTCCCTGTTCCATTCCTCAGTTTCTCCAAGGAAGAGAGACAAGGACATAGATACCCCCCGACCCCCACCCCCCAACAAAGGCTTCAGAGGTAGTTCTGCCAAGGAGGGGATGGCCCCAGCCAGGGTGGGGAGCTCAGGGGTGGGATCCCTGCCTGCCCCAAGGGGGGCTGCGCCAGGTAGGACAGGAGAGGAAGATGCAGCCAGGGCTGTTGCTACCTCAACACAGGAATAAAATCCGGGACAGGGCTGTTTTTACTGGTCCCTGGGGCAGGGCACCAGGGCGGGCGGGGTGGTCCAGGCAGAACCACAGGCCCAACCAGCCTGGAGCAGCCAGATAGAGTGGGTGCCCCCTAGCAGGGGACCATTCCCCACCCACCTGAGCCAGCCAGTCCCTGCCCTGGGGCCCAGTCAGAGGCAGAGCCCCCCATTCCCTGCCTACCTGAGCCTGCCAGTGCCTGCCCTGGGGCAGATTGGAGCTGGCGTCCCCCAGAGGGGAAAGGCCCCATGTCCCATTCCCTGCCATAGACCTGAATGTGATTTTAGTCAGTTTATTCAGAACAATGGGAATTACAGAACGCCACAAAAACCATCCGGGATCCCCCCCCATACCTGACATCCGCTCCCCCACCTCCACTCAGCCCCACCAACCCTCCCACCACCAGCATCTGGTCCCCCCCCTTACACTGACCTCCCACCTTGCAGAAGAGGGGACAGCTGGACTGGGCTAGGCCCCCAAAAACTCCACCCCAGATAGGCATGTCCCACCCACACTCCTTTCCTAACATGGGTGTGGCTACCTACACCCCTTTGTGCACCCCTTTGGGGGCGGGGCTCCCCTAGCCCCACCCAGGACAGGGCCATCAGGCCCAGCTGTGCTGCTGGAGGGTCTCGAGGGCCAGGGTCCAGCGCTCCAGCCACTGCTGCAAGGTGAGGCCCTGGCGGTGCTCCGCCGGCAGGGAGAACTGCCCCGGCTGCTCCCACCTGAACACAGGGACGGGGAGAGAGCCGGGAGGGGGTGAGATGGCTCCTTCCGGCCTCGCCCCTCACAACTCCCCCCCAGCATAGACACCCCTGTTGGTGACACTGGGCACTACCCTAGGTAAGTCGGGAGGGTGGAAGACCACGAGTGTCGATGAAGCCCTCTTGCTCTAGGCCCAGGCAAACTGAAGCCCCTCCGCTCCTTGAACTTTCTGTGACCCTGCAAAATTATGAGGAAGCTAGCACACAAACAGACAGGTTTGCACACGGCTCGCTAGCCAAGGCCAGCTTCGGCCTGGGAAAGGTATAGATAAGGCAGAAATGTTTAGCAAAAACTAGTAACAAATAGGACCAAATAAGGCAAGGCTCGGGCAATGCTACTGAGGAAAAACACAACTGGCTGCTTTAGCTGATTGGCTATGGTATTGTACGGGGCAACAGGTAATTGGTTGCATAAACTTGTGTAGTGAAGTAGGCAAAGGTATAAAATGTATACTGGAATCTGCATGCGGGGCTGCAGGATTTGAGACAGCTCCGTCTCCCTGCGCCCTATTTGAAGCTTCAAATAAATCTCTCTGCTTCTCCACCCCGTTGTGGTCATTGGCGCGACGCATACCGGATAACGAACCCAGCTGTTGCTTGCCTCGGGCACTCTGTGCCAGCAACAGTTCTTGGAACCCCAGATGGGACTCGAGGCTGCTATTTAGCCTTGCCCGGACCCCTCCTGGCGGTTGACGGATTGCGGCGACGACCAACGCCCAGCGCGCACCGATGAGTTCATTGGGAGGCCTTGGAGGAGATGCGATTTGCTTGACCCCAGAGGGCACAACGGTGCAACGTGCCCCTATAGTGGAGAAGCAACTGCTGGCGACGGTGGGGAACTGGTCCCTTGGAAAAGGTAGGAACAGTCCAGTGGTCTGGACTTTCTCTGTTAAGACCTGGGGACGCCCAGAGTCATCCGGGAATATGGGACAGGGACAGAGTACTACAGGCAGGACACAGTGCACGCCCCTAGAATGCATTCTAGCAAACTGGAAGGTGTTTGGATCGGATTCAATGACAAAAGGCAAATTAAAAAGGTTCTGTACAGTAGACTGGCCTCAATATCAGCTAGAGGACCAGGAACGGTGGCCACCGGGAGGGTCAGTCAATTATAATATGATCCTCCAATTAGTTCTGTTTTGTCAGCGAACGGGTAAATGGAATGAACATCTGTATGCACAAGCGTTTATGGCTTTAAGAGATAGAACAGACATTCTACAGAGATGTAATTTGACTCCAACAGGACTGGTAGTAGCTAATGTTAGCCCCCAGTACCCCCCAATGTTGTAATGGCAGATTCGGTGTCCTCTTCGGCCCCCACAACCCCACCTTATAAGGGTAGGACACCTCCGGTTACAGAGATTGCCCCCTCGGTGGGACTCTATCCTTTGATTACCGAGACTGTTGTGGCTCGCCCGGGGTAGACGGACGCCAGGCCACCACCATGCAAGTTTACACCCATGTGCCATTCAATCCAATGGACTTAGCAGCTTTTAAAACACAGGCTGGGGAATTCTCCACGAACCCAAGTTGGTTTATTTCAGTCTTCAAGGGGTGCCTCAGTAGTCACAAGCCGGATTGGGACGACTGTAATATCCTCCTGAGAACCTTGTTGTCTGAGGTGGAGCGGAATCAGGTTACAGCTAAGGGAAGGGAGGAGGCACAGCAGAGACACGAAAGGGATCCAAATAATGTCCTCACTGCTGAGGACGCGGTCCCCCTAGCAGAGATCCAGCCCTGGGTCTGCCGGATCTCTCTAAGCCATTCCGATTGTATATACATGAACGAAAAGGGGTGGCCCTGGGAGTGCTAACCCAGTTGTTGGGGACCTGGAAACGTCCTGTGGCTTATTTTTCTAAGCAACTGGATCAGGTTGCAAAGGGTTGGCCGGCATGTTTACGGGCAGTCATGGCTACTGCCCTAGTACTCGAGGAAGCCGAGAAGCTAACATTGGGAGGGGTTATGCAAATATATACTCCCCATATGGTCCGAACCCAGGCTCGGATAGCTCGGTATCAGGCTAAGCTGTTAGAGAACCCCGAGGTCACCCTGCAGTCTTGCCCCACCCTTAACCCAGCCACCCTCTTGCCAGAAACAGAGGAACAGGAACACGACTGTTTAGAGATCATAGATGCCCAATACTCCAGCCGCCAGGACTTAAAGGATCAGCCGCTCCCAAATGCGGATTATGAGTGGTACACTGATGGTAGCAGTATTGTCATGAATGGGCAAAGGAGGGCGGGTTATGCTATCATGACCCTCCATGATACCGTAGAGGCTGAGGGGTTGCCCACCGGGACCTCTGCCCAGCTGGCTAAGCTGGTAGCCCTGACCCGTGCGCTCGAACTGTCAAAGAGAAAGCGGGTCAACATTTTTACCAATTCAAAATATGCTTTTGGAGTGCTACATGCCCATGCTGGCCTGTGGAAGCAAAGGGGAATGCTAACGTCCCAAGACTCCCCAGTCAAGTATGGGCCCCATATTCTCCGGCTCCTAGAAGCCGTACAACTCCCCTCGGAAGTAGCGGTGGTACACTGTAGAGCCCATCAAAGGGAAAATCAAGACGTGGCCAGGGGCAATGCCAGGGTGGACAGAGAAGCCAAGCATGCCGCCACCTTGACTCCACCGGAAGCTGAGGATGCCCACATGCATACCCTCATCTCATCAGTGGCGAAGCTTCCGACCCCTCAGTACTCTGGGGAAGAGAGGAAACTAGCTGACAAACTTGGTCTTCAGGAATCATAGAATCATAGAAGATCAGGGTTGGAAGGGACCTCAGGAGGTCATCTAGTCCAACCGCCTGCTCAAAGCAGGACCGATCCCCAATTAAATTATCCCAGCCAGGGCTTTGTCAAGCCTGACCTTAAAAACTTCTAAGGAAGGAGATTCCATCACCTCCCTCGGTAACTCATTCCAGTGTTTCACCACCCTCCTAGTGAAAAAGTCTTTCCTAATATCCAACCTAAATCTTCCCCACTGCAACTTGAGACTATTACTCCTTGTTCTGTCATCTGCTACCACTGAGAACAGTCTAGATCCATCCCCTTTGGAACCCCCTTTCAGGTAGTTGAAAGCAGCTATCAAATCCCCCCTCATTCTTCTCTTCCGCAGACTAAACATCCCCAGTTCCCTCAGCCTCTCCTCAGAAGTTATGTGTTCCAGTCCCCTAATCGTTTTTGTTGCCCTCTGCTGGACTCTTTCCAATTTTTCCACATCCTTCTTGTAGTGTGGGGCCCAAAACTGGACACAGTACTCCAGATGAGGCCTCACCAATGTCGAATAGAGGAGAACGATCACGTCCCTCGATCTGCTGGCAATGCCCCTACTTATACATCCCAAAATGCCATTGGCCTTCTTTGCAACAAGGGCACACTGTTGACTCATATCCAGCTTCTTGTCCACTGTAACCCCTAGGTCCTTTTCTGCAGAACTGCTGCCTAGCCATTCGGTCCCTAGAGGGGACAGTCAGGGATGTGAAGAGGAGCGGGGTGGGTGCTGGGAATGGGGGACAGTCAGGGGTGTGAAGGCGAGCGGGGTGGGTGCTGTGCATGAGGAATCGGGGACAGTCAGGAATATGAAGGGGAGCTGGGTGGGTGCTGGGAATGGGGGACAGTCAGGGATGTGAAGGGGAGTGGGGTGGGTGCTGGGAATGGGGACAGTCAGGGATGTGAAGGGGAGCGGGGTGGGTGCTGTGCATGAGGAATCAGGGACAGTCAGGGATGTGAAGGAGAGCGGGGTGGGTGCTGTGCATGAGGAATCGGGGACAGTCAGGGATATGAAGGGGAGCTGGGTGGGTGCTGGGAATGGGGGACAGTCAGGAATGTGAAGGGGAGTGGGGTGGGTGCTGGGAATGGGGACAGTCAGGGATGTGAAGGGGAGCGGGGTGGGTGCTGTGCATGAGGAATCAGGGACAGTCAGGGATGTGAAGGAGAGCGGGGTGGGTGCCATGCATGAGGAATCAGGGAGAGTCAGGGATGTGAAGGGGAGCAGGGTGGGTGCTGTGCATGAGGAATGGGGACAGTCAGGGATGTGAAGGGGAGCAGGGTGGGTGCTGGGAATGGGGGACAGTCAGGGATGTGAAGGGGAGTGGGGTGGGTGCTGTGCATGAGGAATGTGTACGCCATGAGGAATGGCATGTGTAGGCCAGTTGCAGTTGTTTCCTACTGTTAGAAGAGTAGGAGTTAGGCTTAGTGTGCCTATGGGTTGGGCTCCACCGTTAGGGTTCCTATGGGTAGGGCAACCTGCCCTAGGTTTAGGGTTCCTATCGGTAGGCGACTTGGAGTTCCAGTTAGAGTTTCTATTGTAGTAGTAGGATTTTACGTTGTTATATTATATCATTTAGAACGAAGGCTAAAGAATAATATTGCATGTATTAAATGTATTGGTGTATAATCAGAATCTGTGTCTGAGCTGATTTCAAGGCATTAACATGCCATTTCGGGTCACCACTTTGTTGTAGGTTTAGCATTTTAAAATAAGTAAAAGAATGCATTCGTTTCCCCTTCTGCCTTGCAACTTGATGTTCCTATTCAAAATGTACTGTGTAAATCAATTCTGTTATGTGTGTGAATGAGGAACGTGTGTTAAGAGTTAAGTGTGAAGGTCATCGCAGAAGCAGATGTTCTAGGGAGGAACCAAAGACAGAAGCAAGGGCGCCAGAAGATTACAACACGTCCCTATTGACATTTCAGAAGAGAGCAGATTGACGACTCTAAAGTTGAGACAGGCACCTATCAATGGGGACAAAATAGCTGTGACCATAACCAGCATGGGGTAACTCCCTGAGAGACTTGATGAAAGAACAAGATAAAGGATGAGAAGGACAATTTAAGAAAACAAGCACTCGTCAAACAACAATTGATTACAGCATGATGGTGCACAACTTATTGGTCCCAATGAAGGAAAATCACTATATAAACAGGGTCCCTTGCATAGAAACTTTGGGTTCATCCTGCCAAGACTTCCCTGCAGCATCATGTCATGACTGACAGAACTCAGCTCCTCCCTACCCGTGATTAACCTAGCTGGCCACTAGATTGATCCGGACTCTGGACTGGTAACTACAACATTGACTTGTGTGCTTGTGTGTGTGTGTGAATGCATATGCTAATTGTTTTATCTACTATAAACGTGACGTATTGCATTTTCCCCTGAAAAAAGTCTGGTGTGCTTCTTGGAGTTAAGAGTTAGGGCTTCCTGCCCTAGGGTTACTATTCCTATGGGTAGGCAATTTGGAGTTAGGGTTAGGTTTTCTAAGAGTATGCCACTTGGAGTTAGGATTAAGGTTCCTTTGGGTACGCTCTCCCCCTAGGGTTAGGGTTCCTATGGGTAGGGCTCCCCCTCCCAATGTTAGGGTACCTTTGGGTAGGTCACTTGGAATTAGGGTTATGGCTCCTAAGGGTAGGCCATATTGAATTAGAGTTAGGTTTCCTGTGGGTAGGGCTCCCAGCCCTAGTGTAAGTGTTCTTATAGGTAGGTCACTTGGATTTAGGGTTAGGGTTCGTGTGGGTAGACCACTTCAAGATAGGATTAGGGTTCCTATGGGTATGCCACTTGTAGTTAGGGTTTGGGTTCCTATAGATAGGCCACTTGGAGTTAGGTTTATGGTTCCTATGGGTAGGGCTCCCTGCCCTAGGATTAGGGTTCCTATGTGTAGGCCAGTTGTAGTTCCAGTTAGGGTTCCTATGGGTTGGACACTTGGAGTTAGAGGTAGAGTTTCTATGGTAGCACCCCATCCCCCCACCCCAGGGTTACAGTTCTTATGGGTAGGCCACTTGGAGTTAGGGTTATGGATCCCATGGGTAGGGCTCCCTACCCTAGGGTTAGGATTCCTATGGGTAGGGCCTCCCCAGTGTTAGGATTCCTATGGGTAGGCCACATGGAGCTAGGGTTACATTTCCTAAGGGTTGGCCTTATTGAATTAGGGTTAGGTTTCCTGTAGGTAGGGCCCCCAGCCCTAGTGTAAGGGTTCTTATAGGTAGGCCAGTTGGAGCTAGGGCTAAGGTTCCAATTGGTAGGGCTCTGTGCACTAGCATTAGCGTTCCTAATGTCACCCTTTCAACTATTGTATGATTTTGAAGGAACGTTTCCAGACCATGTCTCAGATGATTACATGGTATTTGTATTTAAGTACCATCAGCTTGCATGTAAATGTAAGTTATCTTGTGGTTCTTCATTTCACCAATACAACCCCTTCTCCATTTGTTTACAAAGACACCAAATTTCAAGGAACTCAGTGAACAATAGTAGAAAGTTTACAGCAAAAATTTGACATGTAAGAAAGATTATGAGAATGATATTTCTAAAGCCCAAGAAAAACAATAAATACACTATGCTAGAAGAGTTCAAGGTTGGGGAATGTGTTATGTTACTGAATGCAAGAAGGAGAACAAGAAAGGGCGGGTCAAAGCAATCTACTGCAACCATGGACCATACAGAGCTACCACTGGGTAAAAAAGTTAAAGTGGAAACCATCTCAGTGAAATTGGGATCTACGGACAATATCTTTAAAACCACTGAAAGAGCCATTAATGTTAGGTGCTGAAAATGGATCTTCAGAGGAAAACACAGAAATGGAAACGGCAGTGGGTGACCTTGAAAAAACAGTCCCCACAGAAGAGATTGGAAAAATGGTTGGCGAGGGATCTCAGAAGCCTTATGAGATCCCAGTGATAAACGTGGTGGTCACACTCAGGGAAGAAAAGGCTTGTGCAGCAGAAGAAGTTGAAAGCGGCGATACAAGCGATGTTGATGACACACTTACAGAGCATTTACGGTTTCACAAAGGTAACTGCTTACCACATTTATGTTTTTTTAAAACAATTTGTTAATATACTTCCATTGATGAAGTGTGGTAAAAATTTTAATGTAAAAATGGCAGCATACAAAATGGTAAAACAGAGAAAAAGAAAACTATAATGCCATGCATGTAATTTGTTACATTTCTTTTCCAGTAAAATGCCCAGACACATCGGTTACAGAGAGACTGGAGGCCAAAGTGAGAAAAATCAGTTTGCCTGATGTCATTTTATGGCCTGATGCCAAGAAGCTGGTTGGGTGATAAGGTAAATTTAAATAGCGGTAAACATGGATGGTGACTGGATTGAGTTGTCAGATATTTTTGAAATGTTCACTATTCCCTCATCACCTATTGTAGGTAATTGATGTGTATTTCTGTTGTGTGGTCAATCAGGAAAATAAGTGGAAAGGCCACCTATTGTGACGCTATATGGGAATATCAAATTAATTAATTAAACCATCACACGAATACATTTGAAAACATATTTAAGTCCAAATAGCATGGAAGTGTGGATATATGCCACTAATTGTAGCATTTTGCTATATTTACTGCTCCCAAATATGTTCTCAAAAGTCTTTTGAGATATATACCTGAGGTACAATCCTCGAGGAAGGCAATGTTAGTTTTGATATAAAGTTCAATGGGGCCATCACTTCAGTATGTGTACTGGTTAATCAGTTTTTGAAGCAAGTAAGAAGGACCACACGTGGTCTTAAAAAGAAAAGGTCTGTAATCCATCTTACATAACTTATGTCTGTGTAACAGTAAGGAGCCCTTCCACGGATGTATTTATGAACTACATTATGTTCTATGTGTGCCAGAAGGATTAATCCATTTAATTATTGTCAGACCACAGGTACAAGCCAAGTCTACTAGCATTATGTCTGGCCAAGCAAGAGAAAGGAAATCTGAGAAGATAAATGTTAGTCATGTTCATGCCTAACATGGGCAAAACACATTTTCATAATGGCCGTTAAGCACAGTCGTAAGTAACAGCAAATACTATGCTGGGGAATGAGTAATAGTAAGCATGAACTGAAATTGGGAAATACAATGTAATCTATATGGCATGATTTGCTTCATTGACAAATATAACTGCATTTTTTTCTTTTTTTCAATGAATACAGAGTGGAATTATGCAAAGTGATATTAATTGCTTCCTTACACCATACCAGGTCATTGGGTTATTGCAGTAAGATGTTTTCCATTGTTATACTTTGGGATTGTAACCACTAATGTAGTACTGCATAATATGCATATATACAGATGTGAGGCTATCATATAATTTCCTGTATTGTGGGGTTTCAATAAGTTTAATAAATACAAATGTAAATGGAACTTCAGTCTAAGGCTTGAAATTCCAAGAACTGCAGTTTAAAAATTAAATGCTAGTTTGAAGAATTTGTTATTATGTTGGTAACGTATATTTAAAGAAGATACTCTGTAGTGCAGGATTTCTCAAACTGGGGTCCTTGTACCCCTGGAGGTCCACAAGGGCACTCCAGGGGGTCCATGAGTCATATCCGGGGCCGTCGGCCCCCCCTGATCGATGCCTTCCCCTCCATCACAGTGCGTCCTGCAGGCTGCGGAACAGCTGTTCAGTGGCATGCAAGGGGCACTGGGAGGGAAGAGGAGGAGCAGGGATGGGGCATGCTTGGGAGAGGGGGCAGAAAGAGGTGGAGAAGAAGAGGGGCAGGGGTAGAGCAGGGGGCAGGAAGAGGTGGGGCGGGGGGGGGCTTGGGGGAAGGGGTGGAATGGGGCTGTAGCCTGGGGCTGAGTGGGGGTGCTTGGGGTCCATGAAAATTTTTAAATCAAAATGGGGTCCTCATGTTGCTAAAGTTTGAGACCCATTTCATAGTGTTTTAAGCCAGGAATTCAAAATATGATTTTCTCTTGTGTATTAGTGAGACGTTACAAATAGAATATCTGCATGCAGTGCTTTGAAAAATCATTATACAATTGTTGAAATTATCATATTGTCAATAACATCTGGATGTGTATTTACACTTACAGATCACATTAATGGAAGCAAAAGTATTGTTAATAATTTACTCCTTGTGCGATGAAACGAGATATGAGAAAACTTCCTGAGGGACTGGAGGTGATTTTTAGATACCTATTTTCATAGTTTATATGTAGTGTTAGAGTGACGTTATTGACATAAACTGTGACCGTATAGATCATTGTTGTACCCGCTGTTATATATTTGCAGCAAATATAGTACAAAGGCTGTTGTGTGAGGTGTCTATGACCAGGTTATGATTTGCTGGTTATGATTATGATGTCTGTATGTGTGTATCAGGTTTGTAGCTGAAGTTATGAATATTGGCTCTTGTACTATTGGCTATTGTACTTGTATCTCAATGTGTTTGATTCTAAGTAGCCTCAGGGAAGCATTTGGTCAGCTTCTTGAGAAATGCTCAATCAAGAAACACTTAACTGACAGGTTTCAGAGTAACAGCCGTGTTAGTCTGTATTCGCAAAAAGAAAAGGAGTACTTGTGGCACCTTAGAGACTAACCAATTTATTTGAGCATGAGCTTTCGTGAGCTACAGCTCACTTCATCGGATGCATGCCGTGGAAACTGCAGCAGACTTTATTTATACACAGAGAATATGAAAAAATACCTCCTCCCACCCCACTGTCCTGCTGGTAATAGCTTATCTAAAGTGATCATCAGGTGGGCCATTTCCAGCACAAATCCAGGTTTTCTCACCCTCCACCCCCCCACACAAATTCACTCTCCTGCTGGTGATAGCCCATCCAAAGTGACAACTCTTTACACAATGTGCATGATAATAAAGTTGGCCTTTATTATCATGCACATTGTGTAAAGAGTTGTCACTTTGGATGGGCTATCACCAGCAGGAGAGTGAATTTGTGTGGGGGGGTGGAGGGTGAGAAAACCTGGATTTGTGCTGGAAATGGCCCACCTGATGATCACTTTAGATAAGCTATTACCAGCAGGACAGTGGGGTGGGAGGAGGTATTTTTTCATATTCTCTGTGTATAAATAAAGTCTGCTGCAGTTTCCACGGCATGCATCCGATGAAGTGAGCTGTAGCTCACGAAAGCTCATGCTCAAATAAATTGGTTAGTCTCTAAGGTGCCACAAGTACTCCTTTTCTTTTTACTTAACTGACAATGAACTTTGGGAGACACCGATCAACACCTGAGCTTTCCTGGGAATGTTCAAACTAACATGTAAACAAAGGCATCCTTACAGTTAGTGTGACACTATTTTCAATAAGTATGATATAACAAGAGTGAGGAAACCTGGATTTGTGCTGGAAATGGCCCAACTTGATGATCACTTTAGATAAGCTCAGGTTTCAGAGTAACAGCCGTGTTAGTCTGTATTCGCAAAAAGAAAAGGAGTACTTGTGGCACCTTAGAGACTAACCAATTTATTTGAGCATGAGCTTTCGTGAGCTACAGTAGCTACAGTAGCTACAGTAGCTCACGAAAGCTCATGCTCAAATAAATTGGTTAGTCTCTAAGGTGCCACAAGTACTCCTTTTCTTTTTAGATAAGCTATTACCAGCAGGAGAGTGGGGTGGGAGGAGGTATTGTTTCATGGTCTCTGTGTATATAATGTCTTCTGCAGTTTCCACGGTATGCATCTGATGAAGTGAGCTGTAGCTCACGAAAGCTCATGCTCAAATAAATTGGTTAGTCTCTAAGGTGCCACAAGTACTCCTTTTCTTTTTGCGAATACAGACTAACACGGCTGTTACTCTGAAGAGTGAGGAGAATATCTTTGTGACCAGGGTCCCAGTGGGACATCTGAGGTCACTCAATTAGGTTGAACGGCAAAGAATGGGCAGATAATTCCCAAAGATGATAGATAGTCCAATACTTAGATTTACCAAAACAGCATAAAACAGTTTCTTTATTACCTCACTGGTTGTCCAGAAACCAACAACACCGTTCCCTTAAAGTAACCCAGCCTCAGGACTCCATCCAGGTACCCAAGTCAAATATGATGAAAATTTCTGAAAATCTTATTTCATCATATAAAATAAAGGTTCTACCAATCCCAAAGGCTCAGACACATTATCTCCCAGGTTAATGAATGTTTTAGATCTCACCCAAATTCATGCATACAGCCAATTCTTATTAACTAAACTAAAATTTATTAAAAAAGAAAAGCGTGAGAGTATAAGTTAAAAGATCAATATACACACAGACATGAGTTCAGTTTTTGAGGTTCAGATTCATAGCAGAGATGGTGAGCTTTGTAGTTGCAAAGAGTTCTTTCAGAAATAATTCATAGGTAATAGTCCAATGTTTATATTTCAGGGCGATTCAGTTAGAACTGGGATCTCAGTCCTTGTAGCTTAGGCTTCCCCTGCATGAAACCTCTAGCAGATCTGAAATAAAAAGGATCAGGCCCCAAAGGGGGAGGGATAGCTCAGTGGTTTGAGCATTGGCCTGCTAAACCCAGGGTTGTGAGTTCAATCCTTGAGGGAGGCCATTTAGGGATCTGGGGCAAAAATTGGAGATTGGTCCTGCTTTGAGCAGGGGGTTGGACTAGATGACCTCCTGAGGTCCCTTCCAACCCTGATATTCTATGATTCTAAGGAAAGCATCACACAGACAGAGACAGCCTTTGTTTCTCCCTTCCCTCCAGCTTTGAAAGTATATTGTCTCCTCATTGGTCATTTTGGTCAGGTGCCAGCGAGGTTATCCTAGCTTCTTAACCCTTTACAGGTGAAAGGGTTTTTCCTCTGGCCAGGAGGGATTTTAAAGGTGTTTACCCTTCCTTTTATTTTATGACAGACGCCAATCCACATCTGCGGAGCCTTCCTGGGAATGTTCAAGGTGGCATGTGAGCAATGGCTGCTGCCTGCAAACTGAGTCGTGCATGGACATGTGACTTGCCCATGTGACTCCAAACTCCATCTTGCTGCTGTGATTTTCCACAGTAAGAACAAATGGTCCTTCCATATGGCAGAGGATATAAAAGGCACTGGAAACCCCTCCATTTTGTCTTCAGTCCTGCTTCTGACCTCTGGAGGAACAGTGCTTGAAACTGAAGCTCTGAACAGAGGACTGAATGACCCATCCAAGCTGGGATGTTTGTACTCCAGAGACTTGATTGGTATAAATCAGCAGTAATCCCATCAAGTCTGAAACAAGCCTGAACTAAGAACTTTGCAACTGTTGTATGTATGTGATTCCATTTAACCAATTTTAACTCTCATCTATATTTCTTTCTTTTTATGAATAAACCTTTAGATTTTAGATTCTAAAGGATTGGCAACAGTGTGATTTGTGGATAAGATCTGACTGGTATATTGACCGGGGTCTAGGGCTTGGTCCTTTGGGATCGGGAGAACCTTTTTACTTTTACTGGGGTATTGGTTTTCATAACCATTCGTCCCCATAAAGAGTGGTGCATGTGGTGATACTGGGAAACTAAAGTGTCTGAGGGAATTGCTTGTATGACTTCTGGTTAGTCAGTGGGGTAAAACCGAAGTCCTCTCTGTTTGGCTGGTTTGGTGTGCAAAGGACCCCCAGCCTTGGGCTGTGACTGCCCTGCTCTAAGCAATTTGTCCTGAATTGATACTCTCAGTACTGTCCCGCCAAAGGCTGCTTTGTTACAGCATCCCCATCCCATCCACATCCACATCCATCCAAATATACAATCCTCTATCCATCCATCCATCCCCATACACAACCCCATACACATCCATCCATCTATCCATCCATCCATCTCCATATACAATTGTGACAGGTTGGGTCACAGAAACCCCCTTGAGAACTGCCCTTTTTCCCTGGCAGCTTGGGACTTCAGAGCCCTGCCTGGTTGTGCCCGACACACTAGCCTGCTACAAACACAGACCCAGGTTTGAACCACATCCCTCAAAAGCTGCAGGCTTAACTGAAAACAGCTTAAGAAGTGTTCCAGCACTCATATACCCAGCTCCCCGTGGGTCCAAACCCCAAATAAATCCGTCTTGTCCTGTATAAAGTTATACAGGGTAAACTCATAATAAATTGTTCACCCTCTATAACACTGATAGGGAGATATGCACAGCTGTTCACCCCTACCACTCCAGGTATTAATATATATTCTGGATTAATTAATAAGTAAAAAGTGATTTTATTGAATACAAAAAGGAGGATTTAAGTGGTTCCAAGTAATAACAGACAGAACAAAGTGAATTACTGAGCAAAATAAAATAAAACACACAAGTCTAAGCCTAATACAGTAAGAAAACTGAATACAGATAAAATCTCACCCTCAGAGATGTTTCAATACGTTTCTATCACAGACTGGACACCTTCCTAGTCTGGGCCCAATCCTTTCCACTGGTACAGTCCTTGTTCCAGCTCAGGTGGTAGCTAGGGGATTTCTCATGACTGCTGCCCCCCTTTTTCTGTTCCACCCCCTTATATATCTTTTGCACAAGGCGGGGATACTTTGTTCCTCTCTGGGTTCCCACCCGTCCTTCTAAATGGAAAAGCACCAGGTTAAAGATGGCAGCCATGGATGGACACCCTTGGGGCCTAGATCTTGGGGGGCATCATGCCGCACGGCCTGTAGGGGGGATCACAGGGCAGCATGGGATGAGGGGGTCCCTCCAGTCTGTGCAGTAGCCCCAGCAGAAGCAGAGGGGAGAGGGATAGCTCAGTGGTTTGAGCATTGGCCTGCTAAACCCAGGGTTGTGAGCTCAATCTTTGAGGGGGCCATTTAGGAATCTGGGGCAAAAATTGGAGCTTGATCCTGCTTTGAGCAGGGGGTTGGACTAGAAGACCTCCTGAGGTCCCTTCCAACCCTGATATTCTATGATTCTATGAGTACAGCCCCCCGGCCCGCTGGGAGCAGGGCAGGCAGGGGGTGCGCAGGGTCTCAGGGTCCAGGCGCTGGATGAGGTGCTGGCAGCGCGGGCACTGGAGGGCAGAATGAGGATGTGTTAGCTACTGAGACCCCCCCCACCCCAGATCCCAGCCTGAGCCAGATCCAGCAGGGGGGGATCAGGTCCCCCTCCCTTCCCCCAGGACTCACCTGGTGGTAGCTGCCCCTGACCCCCTCCTGTGCCAGGATTTGGGCCTCCAGCATGCCCTGGTCCTTGTCCAAGAAGAGCCTGAGTTTGCACAGCTCCTGCCAGAGCCAAGGGGTGTCCGGGCAGCAGGGGCAGTGGGATGAAGTGATGTCCTGGACGGGAATGGAGGGACCCAGATCAGCCACCAATTCTCCCCTGTAGCCCCCGGCCACTCACATACCTCACCCCCATCCCTCCCAACTGCCTTCCCCCTTGAACCCCCTGAACTCCCCTCCCCTTCTGCTGGCACCCCAACAACCTCCCCTCCCCATCACTCCCTCAACTGGCCCCAAAATCTGCTCTGAAGATCCAGCTCTCCCACTCCCCTAAACTCCTCCCTCCTGCACCCCCCATGCCCACCTACCCATGCCCCGGGGGTGGGGGGGACCTGGTCCAGCAGCACCCGCACCCATCCCCGCAGCCCAGCCGCGCTCACCCAATACCCACAGGACACCTGCCCTCACAGCGCCCTGGGGGACCCCCCCACCTGGAGGGAGAGAGGGGGAAGGGTGAGAGAGGGCCCAATCCTGCTGGGAGCTCAGCTGCTCCAGCCCTTCCCAAGGGATGACCCCAAAGAGCCCCATGGGGAGAGGGGTAAGGGGAGGGTCCTGGGTCTCACCTGGCCCGGAGGCTGAGGAAAGGCAACAGCAGCCAGTTGTGCCAGGGCAGCTGCAGCTCTCCCCCAGCTGTCAGTAACTGCTGCCAACACAGTCTGAGAACAGCAGTTTGTAACATTAGCCCAGCAGAGCTGGGGGTGGGGGGGCAGGGCTGGGTTAGCAGGGGCTGCGGGTCGGGAGTGAGGGGCACCGGCAGAGCTGGGGGTGGGGGGGCAGGGCTGGGCTAGCAGGGGCTGTGGGTCGGGAGTGAGGGGCACTGGCAGAGCTGGGGCTGGGGGGGCAGGGCTGGGCTAGCAGGGGCTGCGGGTCGGGAGTCAGGGGCAGCGGCAGAGCTGGGGGGCTGGGCATCGCAGGGAGGGAGAAAGCGAAAGGGAAAGTGTGGGGGGGGGCGGAATTTCCCAGCCCAGGACAGATGTTCCCGACAGCCTGCGATGGCGTCGGGGCAGTGGCAGGCGCTGGCCCAGCAGTTCCAGGTGATCTGCCCCCCCCGGGGAGGCCCCAGGTAAGACCCCGGCCCCTCCCCTTACCCCTTGCCCAGTGGGGCCCTTTGGGGTCACCCCTGGGGAAGGGCGGGAGCAGCTGAGCTCTCAGGGGGTCAGCCCCGTCTCACCCTTCCCCCTCTCTCCCTGCAGGTGCGGGGTCCCCCGGGGCGCTCCGAGGCCAGGTGTCCTGTGGGCACTGGGTGAGCACGGCCGGGCTACGGGGATGGGTGCGGGCGCTGCTGGACCAGGTAACCCCCTCGAGGGGGCCTGGGCAGGGGGGCACAGGGGGCTCGATCTTCAGGGGAGATTTTGGGGGTGATTGAGGGAGTGATGGGGAGGCAAGTTGGGTGGGGGGGGTTCCGGGGAGGAGGATTGGATGAGGAGTGACAGGGGACGGGGTTCAGAGGGTTGGAGGGGGGAGAGTTCAGTTGGGGTGATGAGGAAGGGGAGGGGTTGGGGGTGCCAGGGGGATTGGATGAGGAGTGACAGGGGAAGGGGAAGGAGTTTAGGGGGGAGGGATCAGTTGGGGTGATGGGGAAGGGGAAGGGTTAGAGGGTACTAGGGGGTTGGATGTGGAGTGACAGGGAAAGAGGAGGGGATTTAGGAGGCAGGGGTCAGTTGGGGTGATGGGGAAGGGGAGGGTTTAGGGGGGAGGGGTCATTTGGAATGATGGGGAAGGGGCGAGTTTAGGGAGGGGTCAGTTGGGGGTGATGGGGAAGGGGAGGGGTTGGGGGTGCCAGGAGGATTGGATGCGGGGTGACAGGGGAAGGGGAGGGGTCAGGGGGGAGGGGGGGAGTTGGGGTGATGGGGAAGGGGCAGGTTTAGGGGGTGCCAGGGGGATTGGATGCGGAGTGACAGGGGAAGGTGAGGGGTGTTCCATGGAGAGGGGTTAGTTGGGGTGATGGGGAAGGGGAGGGGTCGGGGGTGCCAGGAGGATTGGATGAGGAGTGACAGAGGAAGGGGAGGGGTTTAGGGGGAGGTATCAGTTGGGGTGATGGGGAAGGGGCGGGTTTAGGGGGTGCCAGGGGGATTGGATGTGGCGTGACAGGGGAAAGGGAGGGGTGTTCCATGGGGAGGGGTTAGTTGGTGAAGGGAAGGGGTTGGGGATGCCAGGAGGATTGGATGAGGAGTGACAGGGGAAGGGGAGGGGAGTTCAGGGGGTTCAAGGGGGAAGGCAGTTGGGGAGGGATGGGGGTGGGGTATGTGAGTGGCCGGGGGCTGCAGATCAGGGGAGAGCTGGTGGCTGATCCAGGTCCCCTCATTCCCGTCCAGGGCATCACCTCATTCCGCTGCCCCTGCTGCCCGGATACCTCTTGGCTCTGGCAGGAGCTGTGCAAACTTGGGCTTTTCTCAGATGAGGACCAGGCCATGCTGGAGGCCCAAATCCTGACACAGGATGGGGCCAGGGGCAGCTACTGCCAGGTGAGTCCTGGGAGAGGCAAGGGGGATCCCGCCCACCCCACTCCCCAGATGGGGTGGGTCTCAATAGCTAATGATGAATGCATGAATGAGTGTGGGGATGGATGGATAGATTTGTGTATATGGGGATGGATGGGTGTGTGTGGAGGGGTATGTATGGGGATGAATGGATGGCTTGATGGTGTGCGTATGTAGACAGATATATAGACAGAGGAAGTAGATGGAGATAGGTAGGTAGATAGATTCTATATTAAAACAAAACCTAAGGAAATTTCCAGACAATAACCTTGTGAAACTGGCTACAATTCTTAAGTCCCCATTTATGGGGTTGGGGGAGGCATCTCCAACAGGCTGGGCTTGGGAGCCCAAGAACTGGAGGACTGAGAGCTCAGAGCCCAGGGAAATAGAGCACAGGGAACAATCACACCTCAGTGGCTAACTCCCCTCATGACTTCCCCCAGTGCCCGCGCAGCCAGCACCTCGTCCAGCGTCTGGATCCCGATACCTTGCGCACCCCCTGCTCCCAGCGGGCCGGGGGGCTGTACTGTTTCTGTTGGGGCTGCCGCATGGACTGGAAGGACCCCTTGCCCCAGGGAAAATCCTGCTCCAATCCCCAGTGCCCCCTACAGGTGGTGCTGTATGATGCCCCGGAGATCCAGGCCCCGGGATCGTCTGTCCATGGCTGCCCCTCGCTGCAGGCCTGTCCCCAGTGCCACACCCTGGTGAGACACACTGGGCTAGGCTGCCCCCTGGTGGTGTGCCCGGAGTGCTGCATGGAGTTCTGCTACCGCTGCCTGAGAGACCATCTCGGGGACGACACTGATGAGACGGAGTGGGAGCATGGCGAGGATGAAGGCCTGGATTACGATAATTACTGGGAGGCCAGCTGCAGTATCGCTGGGAGGCAGGAGCTGAAGGGGTCCCCCTAGCCCAAGGGAGACCCCCGGACTCAACCCCTGCCTTGACCCCTGAGAACTCCCCTCCTGCCTCCCAAGGCCAGATCCTGTCCCATCACCCTCAGCCCCTCTCCCAGGTTTGGGGACCCCCCAGGGGCCTGACCCCCCCTCCTCGCTCACAGGATGCCAGGGTCAGTGCACAGGCTCCTGGGCATCGAGGTGCAGAGAGGAGTAATACCTCTGCCAGAGATAGGGGTGCAGGGGCCTGTGACGAAGTGGGGATTTTCCCTTGTAATGGTGTATGTGAGTCTTACTGTTGAGCCTATGTGAGTTTTACTGTTTTCCATGAATACTGTGTGTGCCTCAGTTTCCCTGTGTGCTGCACCAATACCTCAGTGGTGGGAACAGGGGTGTGTGACTTTGGCTGAGACCTCTGGGTCAGGTGAAACTGCTCCAACTGCCTGCACATATGCTTTGACCCATGCCCTTCTTAACCTGAGACCCAGGAGGGGGATGCAACCAGGTTACTGCCCAGGAAGCAAGACAAAGAGAAGGAGGAGGAGCAACGAGGGTGTCTGAGCTCGAGTCGCTGGAAGCTGGGCAGTCTGCTTGGGGGACTGGAAGAGGGGGAGTCCAGGCCATCTGGTTCGGGACTCCCCAAGTTGGACTTGGCTGAAAGTCACTGATTTCTGTGCTAACAAGTTCTGTTCTATGCTGTGTTCCTGTTCACTAATAAACCTTCTGTTTTTATGCTGGCTGAGAGTCGCTGCTGACTGCAAGAGTTGGGGTGCAGGGCTCTCTGGCTTCCCCAGGAACCCTGACTGGGCGGACTTGCTGCGGGAAGTGCATGGGACAGTTTGGAAGGTAATGCTGAATGCTCTGAGGTCAGACCCAGGAAGATGGAAGCTGTGTAAGTTTCTTGCCCTGGAGACAGTGTAGGGCACAGAGGAGGCTCCCCCAAAGTCCTGGCTGGCTTTATACGGAGCAGTTCCAGAGCATCGCCCGGTGACTCTGTGACAAGACCATTGCCCCATCTCCTGGGTATTGGGGTGTAGAGAGAACTGACACCTCTCCTAGCTATTGGGGTTCAGGGGCCATTGCCCCATCTCCTGGATATTGGGGTGCAGAGAAGACTGACACCTCTCCCAGATACTGGAGTGCAGGGGACATTTCCTCCTCTATAGCATAGTGGAATGCAGTGGGCACCGCCGCTTCACCTGGCTGCTGGGAGACAGAACTTGCAGGGCCTGTCCCAAGTGCCACACCCTGGTGAGCTACACTGGGCTAGGCTGCCCCTGGTGGAGTGCCTGGAATGGCTGGCCCTCTCTCCTCTTCCCCCCCCCGAAGCCGTGTGGAGCTGGCCTGAGCCCCTGTGTCCTCTGCACCGTGTGGAGCTGGCCTGAGCCACCCGCCGTTTGGAGCTTGCTCGTTTGGAGCCCCTCTCCCCACCTCCCCCCGCCATGTGGAACTGTCTGGAGCCCATTTCCCCACCACCATGTAGAGCTGGCCCAAGCCCCTCTCCCGCCACTGCCCTGAGGAGCTGGCCTGAGCCCCTCTCCCAACCCGCTGTGTGGAACTGACCTGAGCCACTTCCCCCCTCCCCCCGAGCCCCTTTCCCCCACTGCCATGTGGAGCTAATCCAAGCCCCTCTCCCCCACCCCGTGTGGAGCTGGCCAGAGCCCCTCTACCCCCTGACATATGGAGCTGGCCCTCACCCCCCCGCCATGTGGAACTGGCCTGAGCCCCTCTCCACAAGTCACACCCCCCTCCCCGGTGTGGAGCTGTCCAAAACATTTCCCCCCACCCCCCGTGGATCTGGCCAGAGCCCCTCTCCCTCTGCTTTCAGAGTAGCAGCCGTGTTAGTCTGTATACGCAAAAAGAAAAGGAGTACTTGTGGCACCTTAGACACTAATACATTTATTAGAGCATACGCTTTTGTGAGCTACAGTCACTTCAGCGGATGCATTCAATGGAAAATACAGTGGGGAGATTTTATATATACAGAGAACATGAAACAATGTGTGTTACCATACACACTGTAACGAGAGTGACCGGGTAAGGTGAGCCATGTGTAGCTGGTCTGAGTCCCTGTGTCCCCCGCTCCATGTGGAGCTGGCCTGAGCTCCTCTCCCCTCTGTTGTGTGGATGGCCTGAACCCCTCTCCCCGCCGTGTGGAGTTGTCCCAAGCTCCTTTCCCCGCCTCCCACCGTGTGGAACTGTCCCAAGCCCCTCTCTCTCTGTTGCCATGTGGAGTAGGCCAGAGACTCTTTTCCCCCAGCATGTGGAGCTGTCCCGGGCCCCTCTCCCTCCCCTCCCCCCTGGCTGTGGCGCTGTCCCGCGCCCCTCTCCCCCTCCTGCCGTGTGGAGCTGTCCCAAGCCCCTCTCCTCCTCCTGCCGTATGGAGCTGGCCTGAGCCCCTCTCCTCCAATGCCACGTGGAGTTGCCCCTCTCCCCTCTCCCCCACCCCCCCGTGTGGAGCTGTCCCGAGCCCCTCTCCCCCAATGCCATGCGGAGTTGCCCCAAGCCCCTCTCCCCCCCCCCCCCGTGTGGAGCTGTCCCAAGCCCCTCTCCCCCCGTAGAGTTGCCAGGTGTCCAGTTTTCGATCCAAACACCCGGTCGAAAAGGGACCCTGGCGGCTCCGGTCAGCGCCGCCGACCAGCTGTTAAAAGTCTGGTCGGTGGTGCTACTTAGCTAAGTCAGGCTAGTCCAGACCTGTCCTGGGGCACCGCGCTGCACCCTGGAAGCGGCCAGCAGGTTCGGCTCCTAGGCGGGGGCATGGGGCTCCAGGCACTACCTCTGGCCTGAACACTGGCTCCAGGGTGCCTGCGGGAAAAAGCAGTATGTGCCATAGAGCCTCCTGCCCTCTGCCTCAGCCTAGGACCAGGACCTGCTGGCTGCTGACTGGGAGCTGCCTATGGGAAGCCCGGGCCCCAACCCGAGCCCCAATCCCCTGCCCCAGCCCTGAGCCCCCCCCAAACCCGGATCCCCCTCATGCATCACAAACCCCTCATCCCTGGCCCCACCCCAGGGCCTGCACCCCCAACCTAGAGCCTATACCCCTCCTGCACCCCAACCCCCAGTCCTGAGCCCACCCAAACCCGGAGATCTCTCCTGCACCCCAGAGCCCACACTCCCAGCAAAGAACCCTCACCGTCCCTGCACCTCAACCCCCCTGCCCCAGCCCAGAGCCCCCTCCCACACCCTGAACCGCTCATCCCCGGCTCCACCCCAGAGCCCTCACCCCCTCGTGCACCCCAACCCCTGCTTCCACCTGCAGCCCCTTCCCACACTCCAAATCCCACGGCCCCACCCCCCCAGCCTGGAGCCCCCTCCTGCACCCCAAATCCCTCATCCCCGGCCCCACCCCAGAGCCAGCACCCCCAGCCCAGAGCCCTCACCCTTCCCATACCCCAACCCCCTACCTCAACCTGCAGCCCCGTCCCACAGTCCGAATCCCTAGGCCCCACCCCCCCAGCCTGGAGCCCCCTCCTGCACCCCAAACCCCTCATCCCCAGCCAAGCCCTCACCCCCTCACACACCCCAACTCCCTGCCCCAGCCTGAAGTCCCATCCCGCACCCTGAACCCCTCATTTCTGGCCCCACCCCAGAGCCCACACCCCCATTTAGAGCCCTCACCCTCTCCCACACCCCAAACCCCAGCCCCAGCCCAGTGAAAGTGAGTGAGGGTGGGGAAAAGCGAGTCATAGAGGGAAGGGGAATGTAGTGTGCAGGGGTGGGGCCTCGGGAAGGGGCGGGTCTAGAGTGCCAATAGAAAGCCATGTGTAGCTGTCACAAGCCCCTCTTCCCCCCCACCCCACGATTTGAGCTGTCACAAGCCCCCTCTCCCCCTCCCCCATGTGGAGCTGGCCTGGGCCCCTCTCTGCCCCTCCTCCCCACATACGGAACTGGCCCAAGCCACTTGCCTGAACTCCCTCCTCCTCTCCATGGGGCTGGCCTGAACCCTGTCACTCGCCCCCCACCTCCCCCCCAGCCCCACTGTTTACCCCATCTAAGCCCTTTTTTGGCCAAACTGGGAATTTGTTCCATTTGCTGTTGCAAAGTGCTGATCCAGTACTCTGCTGGGAGCCCTTATTTTTGGCAGCCCTCTGCTGCTCCCATGATAGTTTGTGGGAAGCCACCAAGGGCTGGGAACACCCAGAGCATGTGGAACACCCCACATGCTACCACACCCCATAGGAACTGATGTCCCACAGCCCTCCACCCACCCCCTGCACTGGGCATGGGTAGAGACTGGTGGGAGTGGTAGGACCATAGCTGAAGGGGACACCAGTGCAGGCTGCAACAGAGGGGCAGACAGTGCAGTAGCCCCCCAGGATGCCCTGGGAGTGAAAAAGCTAAGAAGCCTTTCCCTGGTGCCAGTCCAGAATAGAGCACCTGGAGGGAGCAATCTCAGGCAGCATGGGAGGAGATTAGTGGCCAGGCGGTATATGCAAAGCTAAGGCCCACAGGTGCATTACTGCAAGAGAGGCACAGCAGCTGGGCTGAGGACAGAGAGAGGATCACCCCATCAGACTGCCCTGCCCCATGCCCTTGAGCCAGCAACCTGGGATCCAGCTGCCTGGAATGCACCAGGCTGAGACTGGCTCATGACTCACGTGGGAGCAGATTTCTGAGTGCAGCTGACACTGAGCAAACACCAGGATCTGACAGGAATGATCAGGCAGGGGACAGTGCCAGAACGAAGGCTGGAGACCCCATAATCCTGCTATCCATAATCCTGCCTGCAGGTAGAAGATGGTGCTGATCAAAAATTTTCCATCGAAACTGGTTTTTAATGGGTGTGTGACAGGACAAAGTATTTCATGCAAGGTGCCTGCTTTGCACAGAAAATTGGGATTTCTCCTCAAAGGAAAAATGCTGAAGAGCTGGGGAGAAAATCAGCTTTGAGTTCAAAACAGAAACATTTCAGTTCTGAAATGCCACTGCAATGACTCATGGGAGTTGTACTTTGAGTTCCTCACATTCCCATTCTTCTTGATGGGCCGGGATCCCCAGCTGGACTACATTTTGTATCATTCTTTTGGTCACACCACTGCCATGATGCATGGAGAGCATAGTGCATCATGGGACATGTAGTCCAATCCTGGAGTTCGGCCTACAGAGGCCAATGAGAGCTCGAGGCCACCCAAGCGACACTGGCTCTCACAAGGCTGCATGGCAGCATTTCAGAATCAAAATCTGCCAGGGGGTGATTTTTCAGGGCAAGCTCGAAATTTTCCACATGGGGATAAAAATGTCTGAGGAGCTCTAGAAAAGGATCTTATTGGAGGCAGGCACAGCACAGAGATACTTGGGAGGGGATGTGAGCTTCCGCCGGGCTGTGTGTGCAGCTACCTCAGCTATGGGGCGCTGCAAGACATACACTGGGGAGGGGTGGGGATAGTCATCAGACGACAAGGTATATTCAGAGATGAGGCATGGACCTAGCCCCGTCCCATGGAGTGGGCACTCGCTCAGTGCCATGGAGGGAACAGTCCAGCCCCACGTGGGTGGCTCTTGCTTGGTGCCATGGGGGGAAAGCCCTGCGCATGTGGCGGGGGGGGGGGGGGAACTGGCTAAGTGCCATTGGGGGAACAACCCAGCCCCACGGGGGTGGCTCTGGTTAGGTGAGTGCCATGGGGGGAACAGCCCAGCCCTCAGAGGGTGGATCTGGCTGGGTGCCATGGGCGGGGAACAGCCCAGCTCACGTGGGTAGCTCTCGCTTGGTGCCATGGGAGGAACAGCCCAGC